GAGTGCAAAATATACGGCAGGGAGTTCCATTTTTGTGACAGTCATCAAGAATAAACTGGGGGATCTGTAAAGAAGTGGTTTAAATGTACTTTTTAGTTTGATAGACTCATAACTTTTTTATGACAATTAAACAATTTAACTACACCTCAGTATCACACACATTGTAAAATTATTCACAATAGGATTATCATTGCAAATATACCTGAAGTGGTAAAAAAGGCCAGAAAAGTCAATTTCGTCTATTAAGTTTCATCTCCTTCAAACAAAACACAGCAACAAAAACAAGAAAACCCAACCAAACAAACAAAGGCTGAAGTTCTCTCCTCTGCTTCAGGGAAATCTATATAAAAAACCCTTGCAGACAATCTTTCACTGTAAAACAATAATACTCCAGATACCAGGAACTAGCTTTAGAAGGAAAAGGGCATACAAAACTGTAGCTACTTTCCCTTCAATATTCTATGATTATTTTAAAGAATAGCTGATATCCATCAGATAATTGTGCAGAATATTTTATGCTTTAAATATGTATCTACTGGTTTAGTACTGCAAAAGCAAAAAAGTTAACTGGAACACTAGACTTTGAACCATACAGGAAAACAAAATCCTTAGAACTAGAATAAAAAAATTCCTTATTACAAAAATATTACAGATTTGGCATCAGTTTGGTATAAATACTGTTATGTTTTTTATTTCACTAAAACGTACTTGAGTGGTTTTTCCTGATCCAGTCTCTCCTACAATCAAAACAACTTTATGGTCCTTTATTATTTTAACAATTTCTTCCTGCTTTTCAAAAACTGGTAGTGATTGCCTGAAAGAATCAAACTCTGATTCCCCTCTTTTCACAGGAACCTGGGGGATACCATCACTAAGTCGTCCACTTGTCTTCACTTCTTTGTTTTCTGTGAAAAGAAGTCAATAAATTATAAAGGAAGGTCACTAAAACACTGGTTAAAATTGTACTTAAAAATGAACATTTCTGATTTTATTAGCATCCCTGTTGATAAAGTGAGAAACCCATGAGATATTTAAAAGTGGTTTTCACAGTAACATGTCCTGTTATGGTGCTTGAAATAAATATAGTTCAAATTTTTTACTTACATAGAAATTTTAAATTGAATTATCACAGTATTAAACTGAATCATCACAGTACATTGCTCAAGTTATAAAAAGGCTTGAAAAGCTTAAAGAGAAATAGAAACTAAATCAGAGAAAAAAAGCCTTGGCCTTTGTATCTGTTTACACATTCCCATCTCAAGGATTTCTGCCTACAGAAATCCACCGGAGAGGTAAACATTTAAGTTATTCCAAAGTGACAAGTGTGTTTTCCAACAAAAAGACAACTTTACTGTGATTAACATGCCTTCTTTCACATCCTTACTTGTCTTTTAAGACCTCCTTTCAGTCAGTCTTATATAACCTAACAGTCTAGTCCATAAGATTTGTCTTAACAGGTACTAATTGAAACATGATGTAATGAGAGCCCAGGAGCCACACAGCAGTGTGATGTATCAGAAAGCAATGCGTAAGTAGGTAAAAAACCTGCAGTCTTCTGAGGAGGCTACTTCAACATCAGTATCTTAAATGCTACTCTACAATTCCTTAATAATTATTTTCCACAAGAATGAGAAGCTCACTGTCAATGCAATTATATAGGCATAATGCAATTATTTACTGCTATTAACAGATTCATGTGTTAAATTCTAAACACTGTATTACCAAGACAGACACAGACTAACAGATTAAAAGAGCCAAAGAGCATTCTGGAGACGTAAAGAAAGATAAATTTTACACTATTCATTAATTTATACCCTATATCCCTAAGAAATTGCTTTTTGGTACTTTTATTATAGTTTCCCTCTGCTCACTAAACAATCCTATTAAACAAATGAAAGAATGGAGAAAGAAAACTAGCAAAGGAAGCACTTAAAGCACGAACACAATTAATGAGAAATATCCCTTTAAACAAAGCATACTGCTATGTTCTTTGTTCACTACATCCAGCTTTTTACACAGAAACACAACATAACTTTTACAAACGTGACTTTAAGGCAACAACCACGTTAAAAGCATTATTTAAAAAACCTATCTTTTATCAGAAGTTTGTCTTCCAGAGGACTTTATATACTCAAGAAATCAAGAAGTTTATATATTAGCCCGAGTTTACTTAATAGCTCTTACAGACCGAATCTATTTTAGATGACAAAACAAAATATGAACTCCTTATTTTATCAAGGACATGAATTCCTACAGCACAACAGACAGTCTCATTTTCTCTTAAGGATATTCTTACACAGAGTGATGTCTCCTTAATCGTACCCCATGGAACTTGCAGGAATACACATTTCACAACGGTATTTAAAAAAAAAATCTGTCTGAAATTGTCTCAAAGAAATCAAAATTAACTTGACACAGGGTAGACATTGCAACGTGGGTGACTTGACTGCGTGAGCATCCTATGACATGGGTTTTAAAAGATCCTATATTAACAATTACAAGACAAGAAAATGATAAGGTTTGCTTAGAAGGAAGAGTTAGGACAGAAGAGACAGAAAATAGAGGGGTTTGTTTTGGGGTTGGGTTGTGGGTTGTTTTTTCAAGTAGTATTGATTGATAAGTCCATGTCCATATTGACAAGACACACTGAACCTACCAGATTCAACAGCATATGCATTTCCTTGTTCTGTCTTTGGCAGAAGTTCTGTTCGTTCTTTATTTGTGACAGGAAAATTTCGAATTAAAGTACAAATACTGTGTTTTGTACCAGGAGTTAAGGCACAACTCATTACTGCACGTTTGAGTTCTGATCCATCCTTTTTTCTTACGGTTAGGTACCGATTTGCTCCTTTTCTGGGAGAAAGAAAAAAAGGCATTTCAGGAATAAGCAAACTAGTTACCTCCATGTAATGATCTTTGACAATAATTCCTTCAATGTGACTTTCAGCTTATTTTCAAATACAATGTCATAATAAGAATCCTCCAAATAATGTCCTAGGTAGCATAATGCAACATTCACAATAATCATCATCAAAAGCAGCTTCTCTTCATGTGAGGTAATGCAGAACAGACACTGCAGACATTGGATGACTATGCCTCGGTTATCACTGCGTTTGTCTCTCAAAATACAGCAGCTCTACCAATCATTTTATCAATCAATACTGAGAGTTATGACATCAAACAACTTTTAGACTAACTTGAAAGATTTATAACATAAAAATCAACAAATAAGCAGAATAGACAAAAAAGCTCCCTGCTAGTGGCATTCCAAGCCTTAACAAAATCCAAAAAATGTATCAGATCTCAGGATGTTCAATATCAAAGATTTATTATGTAGAAATGGAGCTGAAACACTTAATCATAACAGTGATCTACTTCTCAGACTGAACTCTTGACACTAAAATGCAAAGAATTGTCATAAATGTATTTGAAACTGAACTAACTTGTGTCTGGGCTACAACTGACACATCAACACTTTTAAAACAACTTCTCAGGGTAAGAACAAAAGGTCACACTAAGAGCCCAGTGACCTGTCCCTGGCAAGGGTGGAAGACTGCTGTAGGTATGCCGGTGCTGGCAAGGGCAGCCTCTGTGAGGAGAGGCACAGCCACCTCCAGCAGCCCCTGGCAAAAACTACTCTGTCCTCTTTACATCCTCATTTCAAATACTTACATACACTGTTGAGACCCCCCTGAGCCTTGTCTTCTGCAGGCTAAAAAGTCCTAGCACCCTGGCCCTTTCTGCACAAAGGAGATGCTCCATCCCCTTCACCAGGTTTTTGGTCCTTCACTGAACTCTCACCCCAGTCTAGGTCTCTGTCCTCCTGGTGATCCCAACCCTGGACAGACACAACACTCTTGGTGTAGCCTAATCAGTGCTAGAGTAGAGTAGAGGTGAGTAGAGTAGTGAACTATGACCTCCCTCTGCCTGCTAGCAACACTTGAACCCTCTACTATGCTTCCCAACAGAAGCACTCTTTTGAACATGCTATTTTAAGTTGCACCTGTCAACGCAGGAGATTCTATGCAAAACCTTTGAAAATACATTAGTGCAGGGAAAAACCACAGGAAAGATCTTTATGAGAAGTCTTTCTTATGCACATGAAGTCCTCAAAACTGCATTACAACCTAGTACATCATGCGTTTTTTTATTCAGACATCAAGCAAAGCACAGAGACAATTATTTTTATATTTACTTATTAAAGTCTCTTCTCTAGTACCATTCCCCATGACACTGCAGGACAAGTTAAAAACAAAGATCGTTTTAACACTGATAACGAAATCCCATAAATTTGCACCAGAAAAAGAAAATAAGACATAAAATAAGAGTCAAACTTACCCTTTACTCTTCGATATCAGTCCAAGAGAATGACAGAGCCGGTGAACAAATGCTCTTTCGGTTCTAGTGAAAGAAGACGGAAACTCCATTTCTGGAAAGAGAATTAAAAAAATAAAAACCCGAGCACAAAAACTCAACAGGCAAAATCTCTGACGTAAGACCTCGGCGCCGCGAGTTTATCAGTCGCCAAACCCACCAGGCTTCCCGTGCACAGCGGGACCGGTGGCAGCGCTGTCCCCGGGCAGCCAAGCGGGACTCGGCCGCCTCGGGGCAGCGCGGCCGCCCGAGATGCTCCTGCCGGGAGAGCCCGCGGGCCCGGCTGCCCGCCCGCCCCGCTCCGCCTGGCTCCCCCACGCACCCGTGTCCTCGCCATAGCGGAACCGCTCCAGAGCGAGGTTCACCGCGATCTCCACCTCCTCGTCCACACGGATATCTTTCAGACCTTTGCCGCCTCGGCCGCGGCCCGGCGCGGCGGGAGCGCCCGAGCCCGCTGTGCCCGCGCCGTGCTGCCGCGGCGGGACATTCCTGGGCCGCGACATGGCTCCGGCACAGAGCAGGGGCTCCTCCGCACTCCGGGACCACGGGCGCTGCCCACGACGCAGCAGCAGGGCCGGGCGGGCGCGGCGCCGTGACGTGTGCCCAGCGCCGGGCGGCGGCGGGCGGAGAGCGCAGCGGCGCGGCGGCGGCGGGAGGCGGAGCCGCCCTGCAGACGGAAGGAAGCGCCGGCGGGGTTTGTGCCCGGCAGAGCCTTACGGAGCGTGTCGTGGGGCCGGTGTTGCGCAATAGTGCCACAGTGGCCGTGACTGAAGAGGCGGCGCTGATACCTGTCAGGTATCATGCGATTTCATTGAATGACGTTCAGAGTAGGTGGTAATATTGCAGTCCTCAGCCGTGTTTGTTTTGAATGTTTTACGGAGTCATCAAGATTTTCCTTCTCCTTTTCTCTCTTTTCCGTCTTTATTTCTCTTCTTTCTTGTTATGTCTTGGCAAAGTACGGCTAACATATTCTATTCCTTGGTTTGTGCCAAAGTCAGTGGTGAGGACTGGCAGGTTGTTAGTTGTAGAAGTTGAGAGCTTGTTAGCCAACACTTCTGCAGTTATATATTAGTACTGGAAGGGCTAGTTGCTGTATTTTAGGTGACTGTATAGTAAAAGGATAAAAGTCCCTGACATGTGGACTGGTGTCTTTGTTCAAGGGAACAAAGAATTTACAGCGAACATCACATCCCCAACCAAATGGGTCATTATATGTCAGACAGGGAAGTTTTCTCAACAGTTTGGCAATCCAAATGGGGTCCCAGGTCACCACCTTCACAGCCTCCCTTATTCAAACATCCAGCTGCTGTGGAGTTCATGGGGAACTACCTGAGTTCACCTGAGATCTTTGAAGCAGGGAGGATACAAAAGATAAACACTAAAGTTCCCCAAGTATATTCAACATAAGCTACAAGGCTCTCCAATTATTTTTAATAAATTTCTCTAATTATTTCAGACTTTTCCTTCCTGCAGCATTATGTACATGGTTGGTGAAATTAGGTTAGCGCATAGAGCATGGGTCTGATCGGGAAAAGGTACACTTAAAGGGGTTTTTAGGGTCTCTCCCAAGTTGCACAGGGGACTGAGGTCACCTGTAAGGTGTGCAGGGGAGATTGAAATCTCTCCTAAGGCATGTGGGAGCTGTGGTCCCCTGTAAATCATGCCAGAGGTTTGGAGTCCCTAGTAAGGCATGCAGGGGCAGGGGTCCCTCGGAAGGCCTGCAGGGGGGTTGAGGTTGAAGGTCAGCTGTTGAACTGGGATCAGTCAGTCCTAAACAACAGGCAAAAGCTCTTCAGAACAGGTTTGTGATCTCTGCTGCTCTTCACCAACTGGAGTGGGGAGATGAACTCAGATGCCCAAATCCTGAGTGGCACAGATGAGTGTCGCAAGGCACCCAGTGTGCTGATGTAACCCATCCCAGAGAAGCCATCAGGAGCTCCAGGGAGAGTTCTGACAGTGCCCAGTGAGTTCTCAACAGCCTGTAGCTATCCAGGGGAAGGGGAAGTCCATGTCACACTGTACCCATATCCACAGCAGGTCTCCAAGGTGAACTGCCCATATCCTAGCATTGCTCTGTGAACATTGATGGATGATTTGAGGGATTAACTAAACTTGGTATAGCAAGAGAAGATAGGTAGGAGAGTTGTTTAAGCATTTTAAAAGATGAAGTAGGAAACTATTTAAAAGCCTGTGCTATATCATGTGAAAGCGGCAGTGCTTTAGTGTATGGTGATTCCTTGAACACATTTCAAGAGTTTATTTTGCAACTAACAAATAGGCAATTGACCACATCTCTGGAAAGCACTCACACTGAAGGAGTTGCTCATTCTAGATTGCTATGTGCACACCATCTCTTCAAAGAGGGGGACCCAAAAAGATCTGATGTAGAGGTACACTAATCTTCAAACCATGTTTGTGACTATTTGATTGTTGTGTAAATTTGAAATACTATTCCAAGAGGAGGTTCTTCAGAAGTTATGCTGAAGTGCTGCTTTATTTTTTGTACTTGCACAACTAGTAATTGTAGTATGGTGGTAATTCTGCGTATATGTCACAACAGTAGTTACAAACGCAAATTTTTCTACACGTACATTTATTTCAAGTGTGAGGATGGTAAACATGCAAATAATATTTCAAGACTTCCTCCAGAATATGGAGAACTGTTGCAGTTGTCTGGTAAGATTTGCTATTCATAAACAAAGGGCATTCTCAGTGGCCTGGTTTACCAGTGCAGTTACAGGAGCAGGAAATCTTTTTAGTATTCAAAATAATGTTATATCTATTAACTTGGAGAACTCCGTTTCATTTTCTTACAGGAGGATAATATGCAAAGAGTACTGCCTGAGCAAGAAACTGTCTCTGTTGCCTGGTGTTTTGCATTGCCCCTTTGATGAAAAACAAAAGGAAAAGCTGCTGTTTTAAAAAAAAAAAGTTGAATGAGAAAGTGTTTTTACCTTTAGGAGGTATGTTAGGCCCCGTGAATCTGCAGAGACTTCAGCACTTACTGCTAGACCTTGATGCAGAAGGTACAAGGTTGATCTTTGCTGTTTATAGCTTAGTTTTCATTTTTATTTAATCTTTTACTCACGGTACGTGGTCTCTATCGCGCCAATGGTGTCTTTTCTATCGCCTATACTGGGACTAGTAAATGCTTTAGTTGGGTGTGGGGAAATAGCTTTGTTATTCCAGGTCATGTCGATTGGGCTAGAGTTTGGCATCAAGACGATCTGGTATTAGCAGACATTTTTCAGGTGTAAGCTGAATGCTATGGCTTAAGCTACGTCTTGGTAGCCTAAGTGCACCTTCCGGTGCACCCTTATTTTGTTACGACTTACCTCATCTTTGCCTGGATAACTTATTAGTTTATTGGGGGGGGGGGTTGCGAGGAGGGTGCCGGGCGGTATGTACATGCCCCAGGGCTGGCCTAAAGAGGGCTGTCCCTCTTGATTGTCCCACTTTACTGCTAAATCCACCTTTCAGGGGTTATTTCATACCCCTTTGCCATTATGTTCTAACTTAGAAAATGTAGCCTATTGCTGCCATTCCATAGGCTATACCTTGACCTGTCTTTTTAGCGTGGTGGGGCTATTGCGCTCATTGTTGGGCTTTCAGGGGAGGTGGGCTGGCGACGGCGTTATGTAGGCTGTTTTGACAAGGAATGGTCAGGTATATCGTGTATCATCGATTACAGAACAGGCTCCTCTAGGTGGGTTTGGGGCATCGCCAAGTCCTTAGAGTTTTAAGCATTGGTGCTCATCATTCTCAGGCGGATGCTTTAGTGGGTGTAAGCTTCAAGATTTAGGGCCAGGCATAGTGGGGTATCTAATCCCAGTTTGGGCCCTGGCTTTCGTGGAGTTCAATTAATCGTTGTTCTAAGATCTTCTTTGATGGGGAGGCCTTATTGGCATCTTGGGCTTGTGACAGCTTAGTTGCTTTTTAATCTTAGCTACTTGGATAGCATGTGACCACTCTTTACGCCATTATAAAGTTAATTTGGGTCTCCTGTATGACCGTGGTGGCTGGCACAGGATTTACCAACCCTAGATTTGCTATGGCTAAGTCAAGTTTACACTCATTGCTCAATATTAACTACTGCTGAGTACCCGTGGGGGTGTGGCAACTGCAAGGCGTTTTGGGCTACGGTTGTGGTGAGCCTGATACCCGCTCCTGTCTACCTAATTAAGGTGTCCAGGGCACCTACACTGGAGCATGGATACTTGCATGTATATACCTAGCAAAAACTAACAGTAAGGTTAGGATTAAGTATTTTGTCCTCGGGTGTGTGTGGCAGCCATCTTGACATCTTCAGTGTCATGCTTTCTATAAGCTACAAGGATGTAAAATTTGGTGGGTAGTTGGTTGATGGTTTGTCATCATGGTTTGTATTTTTTTTTGGTTTTTGGAGAGGGGCCAGTTTTGGGGTTAATTCTGTTTGTTTGGGGGTGGTTGGGGAGTGATGATGGTGGCTGGTTGTCATTTTTGACAGTAGGAAATAGAGAGGAAGATTAATTGAAAGTATATTGATGGCAAGTGGTTTGGACAATGTAGAGATAAATGGTTTAGTTATTTGACAAAAAAAAAATGTCAAGATAAAAAAAATAGATGCATAAAATGGAATTTAAATGTTAATTCCTAGTAAATGATAAAATAATTAATATGTCCGGCAAGCATTACACCATCTGTTGTGTAGAGGTAGGTACCGCGCCCTCCATGAATGGGGTCAAGTGCATCAGTGCTAAGTTTGGGACGACCTTATCCGTCAGACCATGACGTTCTGGGTGTTAGGGGATTCATATGCTCGACAGTCATGTGATGGACATGTCAAGAGGAAGATAACAGCTGCTGTGCACTTGAAGGGCTTATTGAAGAGACGCTAAAAGAAAACAAGTGTAGGAGGTCGGTATGCCAAGGTATTGAACTTAGGAAGGAGTATTCAACCGACCACTTGTATCTGTGAAGAGCAAGGAGGAGGGAATGGGGCAAGTTATAGTCCTGAAGTTACAACCAATAGTGCAAAAGAGCAAGTATAGGAGAGGTATGTGCTTGCAGGGCAATAACCTAAAGTATATATGACGTTGAGTAACCATAGCTCGGTTCTCGTGAGAAGCGCGACCAATAGATAACCATGTCCTCTGGCTTGGGAGCGCTTGAAAGCTGTTGGTCAGGAATATTACCTAGGAGGTGGGCAAATCCTGTAGACTAGGGGAATTCAAAGGTGTACTGGGACATTCCTCATTCACAAGGTTGGGTGTTGTGCATAGTAGATAAGGTCCTGGGTCTTTGAGTAATGCTTGTGGCTTGGCTGCAATTAAGATACAAAATTACTGGAATCAGCTCTTGTTGTACAGTTCATGAAAAAAACCTTTCCTAAGAAAATTGTGATAAGAACGAATGGTTGTAATACTAGATTGTGTTGCCCTAGCAGAAAGGGAACAGATTGCATCTCCATCCATGTTTCAGCTGTGTCAAAAGGAAATTTAAGTATTTAGACTGTATTTTGGGGAAGGGGCAATAAAAGATAACAAAGAGGGGTCATAATTAAACTCCCACGTCTGATCACAAAAAGTAGGCTTGAGGTTTTCTCAGAGCTGTGGCATCTGACATCCGCAGATTCCTAGGTTAGGGCAATTGACTAAGTCTTTGATTGAGACAACTGACAACTTCAAGAATAGCTAGTGGAGAGGTAATGCAGAAATTAGGACCTCACAAGAGATCGATTGCAACTAATTCAGTTGCAGCAGGAGCACCAGCTTGTATTAACTCCGTGGCAGCAGCAGGAGGAACCCAGAATTCTAACACCACAACAGACACATAGATATCACATCTTAACACCTTTAATTCAAAATCTAATAGCAGAACCTAATGATGGAGAAAAACATCACCAGTGTGAACAAATGATACCCATTCCAAGTAAAGCAGAATATCAATTCTGACAAAGAATATTTAGTCACTCTGGCTAGATGGTTTCATGATAAATCCTATCGAGGGACACGGGCAATATTTATCCAAGTACAAAAAATATGGCCAGCAATAGCCACCACAGGAATTTAGCTCCAGGAATTTATGCCACCACAAAAGAGAATCACAAATGGCTGCCTGACTTGACATGAGTTTTCAGGCAGCAGACTGAGTTCACAATTAGGAGAATGACCATGGACTGATTTCCATTCTCAGGGAATGCAAAGAGACCTTGCAGACATACCACCTGTGGCTGGGTGGTAGTCAACCAGCTGTAAGGCTGGGCAGAAGCCTTTTTTTCCAACAAAAAAGACTTATTCAGGAGGAATAATAGAAGCCTTCTTAAAGAAATCAGTGCTCATTTTATAGCAAATATGATACCAAAATTTTCCAGATAGAAACTTTCTACAAGAGTTCTGAGTATTAGAAAGCAGGCATTCTTTATTGAAGCATGCTGATCACTTGGAGGACCCTTTCTCTAATTAATTGCCCTGAGTGTTGCATACCCACTGATTTACATAATCGTTAGCTATCCCCACTTACTTGATGTGTATGTTTTACTTTATTTTACATTCTCACACCCCTTATCAGAAGTCCTTATATGGTTCTTTGGGGGTCGTTTTCCATGGTCTTCAGCATCTGGTGTCCTTTTTAGGTAGCTGCTCCTTGACCCCCACTTTTGAGTAAGCACAATATTCTTTATAACTCCTGTTTTGTCAGCCTTGCAGAGCTTAGCTGGCATCCTACTTGTCTTCCAGGACTTCTGTTTGATTAAGTTACATCCTATTTTTATTTTTCCAAGGCTATACTGTTCTGTTCTACTGTCCTTATCAAATACAATCAATCAGCTTGCTAACAACACCAAGGTCACATACACATTCATGTATTCTCACACAATCCCCATATGAATCATTTATTTAAAGAGTTGGCCTCAATGATCATTGTAGGTCCCTCAGAATATTTTCTGTGTGAACTTATGTCCCAGTTAAGGCCTGTTAGATGGTGATGAATGCTTGACTTAGTATGTTAACAAGTAGAGAAGGATCAGTCTCTTGATCAGTAACTGACTTTTGAGGATCCTTTGTGGTTTCATATCAATAAACATTTTTGTCCTATGACATTCTTGTTGGCCTTCATACTGTTAACTTTGTTACTTGTTATAATGCTGTATGTAAAAGCAATGGTAAAATGCATTGAAATGGTTTTGTTTCCCTCTCAGTATATTAGCAGGTATGCTTAATGAATACACGTGTGTTAAGGTAAGTGTTAAGATATCTAGTCAATGCAGATAGCTCCGTGTGCAGCTGCAGTGCCAGCTGCAGACTGGGCTCTGACAGGCAGTAACCTAAGGAAAGAGATTGTGAACTAGTGCCTTTTTATTTTGCATTTTAATAGTTTCCTTAAAAGGGGTGAAGAAAAGTGATCCTAAAAGTTTCCCTAAGAGAAAAGCTGTCCTGGGGGTTGGAAGAGGCCAGAAGCCACTGAATTTTTCTATTCAGACAGCCCTGAGAGTTCTTGGGATCAGTAGTGGGGGAACCTCCTGCTTTGTGACCCAACATTGTACCAGAGAGAAGACCAGCCATTTTCCATGACAGAAGCTCTCTTCCTCCATGCCTCTCGGAGCTGGTTTTGCAGCAGCCTAACACTGGAGTGAGGATTTCTCTCTCCAGTTCTTAGAAAGTGCCGAGTTTGAGTTATGAGGTTACAGATAGAGGGGCTAAAGTTATTTGTCATGCGTTGACGGGCTGGAACAGAGAGGAACAGAGACAATTCACAGAATGACTAGGTTGGAAGAGACCTTCAAGATCATCAAGTTCAATCTGTGCCCTAACACCTCAACTAAACCATGGCATCGAGTGCCATATCCAATCTTTTTTTAAACACATCCAGGGATGGTGACTCCACCACCTCCCTGGGAAGACCATTCCAGTACTTTATCACTCTTTCTGTGAAAAACTTTTTCCTAATATCCAACCTGTATTTCCCTTGACACAGCTTGAGACTGTGTCCTCTGGTTCTGTCAGTTGCTGCCTGGTGAAAGAGACCAACCTCCACCTGACTACAGCCACCTTTCAGAAGTTGTAGAGAGTGATAAGGTCACCCCTGAGTCTCCTTTTTTCCAGGCTAAACAACCCCAGCTCCCTCAGCTGTTCCTCACAGGGCTTGTGTTCCAAGCCCCTCACCAGCCTTGTTGCTCTCCTCTGGACACGCTCAAGTGACTCAATGTCCTTCCCAAACTGAGGGGCCCAGAACTGGACACAGCACTCAGGGTGTGGCCTCACCAGTGCTGAGTACAGAGGAGAATGACCTCCCTGTTCCTGCTGGCCGCACTGTTTCTGATACAGGCCAGGATGCCCTTGGCCTTCTTGGCCCCCAGGGCACAGTGCTGGCTCATGTTCAGCCGGCTGTCACCAGCACCCCCAGGTCCCTTTCTGCCTGGGCACTGTCCAGCCACACCATCCTCAGCCTGTAGTGCTACAGGGGGTTATTGTGGCCAAAATGCAGGACTTAACACTTGGATTTATTAAACTCCATCCATTTGAACTTTGCCCATCCATTCAACCATTCCAAGTTTCTCTGCAGAGCCCTCCTACCTTCCAACATATCGACACACGATCCCAGCTCAGTGTCATCCGCAAATTTACTCAATACCCTCATCCATGTCATTGATAAAGATACTGAACAGAACTGGCCCCAGCACAGACCCCTGAGAGACATCACTGGTGACTGGCTGCCAGCTGGATGCAGCACCGTTCACCAAGGTCACAAAGTCAGAGCCAAGACCTTTGGGGATCCCAGGAATCTCTCTAGTCATGGCAGCCCCACTCTGTCCCACCTCACCCAATCCCAGATCTTCCCATGCCCAGAAGGCAACTGGGAGTAAGAGGATAAGCCCAAGTAAGGTGTTGCCATGAATACCTCATGTGTCCATTAAATCTCTGCTCTGCTCACACCACTCCCTTGTAGACAGAGCAGAGCCCTGCCCAGGATCTTTCATGCATTCACACCTGTCCCTTCTGATATACCACTGCTCCCATTGATCCTCACAGGTCACCTGAAGCAATTCCTGCTGCCTGCTCAAGTGGCAGCTGCTGAGTACTAGGGACACCAAGCTTGTCATCACCCTAGTGGCACAGCTCCACAACACCAGTGCTGCCAGCCTGTCCACATGTCCTTCTCCCCTTGGCAGGGCTGAGCCATGTATAAATGTCAAGGGCAAGGGTGGCAGAGGGTGGCAGGGCGTCCTAAGGCATAGTCAGAGTACCACAGCCACTGGGCTGAGTCCTGCTGCTGGGGTTGGGGCCAAGCTACAGTAGGGCAGCGAGGTACCCTGAGGGTTTTGGCTCACCAGTGAGCCTGATGGCTGCCTCTCGTATGGACTTCTGTGGGCTCTGCAGGTACATCGCGGACTGGCGCAGGTACCCATCTGCTCTGTCTCTGTCCTCTTCCAGCTGAAGAGAGCACAAGGGGACAGAGGGAAGGGTTGGCATTGTCTCTTCCCCTTGAACGGGCAGCCTCTACATCCAGGACTGGCATCCCTGCATGGACACTCCTGATGGGCAGCCAACAATTGGGTTGGAGGGAGCATAGAGTTGGTTACTCCACAGGGACCCTCAATGCTGTCCTGATGCCAAAGCACAGCTGGGCTTGGGCTCTCTTGGCAGCCTGGCTCAGGGAAGCACAGGAGTCTGGAGAGGAGCCTGCTGGGCCACATGCCAGAGGGGAGTAGTGTGTGGGGAGCAGGCTGTTGGAGATGAGTGCAGCAGTAGGCAGGGGCCACAGCTGCCAGCCCCTCACAGTGGGTATTGAGGCAAAGGGCTTGTTCAGACAGTCTGGGGCTTTGAGGCCACTCTTACCAGGCACTCGCCAAACCTCCACAGCTCTTCTGATTCCAGAAGCCGCACAAGATTCCATTTTTTCAGGAATATCATTGCTTGAATTAGGGTTTCCCAGGAGGCCTGCAGAGCAGCAGAGACTGGGAGATGGCACAGCATCCCAGGGCACAGGCCCAGCCAAAGGCCAGAAGGAGGCCAGAATGCTTCAGTCTTTGCAGCATTAGAGCAGGCTGAGCCCACTCACAGGGGATACAAGTAGCTCAGTGTCCCCACCTCTGCCACAAACTGGTTTTCATCATACATGTGATAGAAGAGTGGGACCAGGCTCTGGCGCACGCAGTCCTGCAGGGCCCATTCTCCTCCTTCACCCACCAACTCCATCACTGCTTGAAAGAGGTGAATGGAGAGCAGCTGCACATGGCTGTCATCCTAGTGAAGAGAGCAAGAAACTCAGCACTGCCTGCTCCGAGCTGACCTCGGCATGGAACTGAAAATCCACAACGGAACAGTTTCCTGGCAGCATATAGGGGGGAGGGGGGGAGGTGAGGGGGGCAGAGGAAAAGAGGTGGGCACAGAGCCTTACATTGTCAAAGAGTGGCTGGAGTGCCTTAGCCAGCTGCAGAGCAAGGGAACTGGCAATTGGCACGTCTCTGTTCAGGAGCAGCTCACTGAGCACAGAGAGGGTCATCCACACAACCTCCCTGTCTTCATCCTTCAGCACCTCTGTGAGCCCTTCACTCAGGTTTTGCATACTTTCAGCCTGTGTGGAACACAATGCAATGTGATGCCATGAAAGGCTGCATTGCCAAAAGCACTCCAGGAGTTTAATTCCATGCTAATGCCCTAGAACCCAGAAGCCAAAGGCTTTGGCCAGACAAATAGGGAGTCAGGAGAGCTGGAATAAGGAGCCTATCTTCTGAAGTCCATCCAAGTGCAAGCCACTGTGTTACTCAGCCCCACACTGCCTGCCCAGCTTCAGTTGGGCAGCCTGCTTCTCACCATAGACGGTCTCTTGCAAAGTACTATCAGGCATCTCAGCACCAAGAGACGCATCACTCTGCTCTCCTTGAATAGGTAGATTTGGACAAGTTGTAGGATGCGTACATCCCAGTTGTCTAACTTGAGGTAAGGAAGGACCTGAAACACAGCAGTGAGAGTGTCATATCACCCCAGGAGCAAGGGACAAAGGGCACAGAGCAGAGCCCACCTCAGCCCCTCCTTCACTGACTGGACTCCCCTGCAGCTGCATCTCCAAGAGGGCAGGGTGCTGGGACACAGCTCCACAAGGCAGTGCTCACCATCAGGCTCACCTCAACAAGGAAGGCCATGGCAGCCACCTCCCAGCGTGCCTCCTCTCTGCGAAGCAGCCTGAACAGGTATCGTGCAATCCGGTAACACAAAGACTGTGAGATCCTGAGCATTGCTCTGGCAGGGGGAAAAAGACATTGTTGACTCTGAGCAGGGTGGGCAAACCTCACCTGGGACTGACTCACAGAGGCCTCTTCTTTCACCACTACTTCTTGCAAGGAGGAGGGTAGAGCCAAACACCAGCAGGCTCATTTCAGGAAGGAAGAGGCTGAAAACCACCCTTTCTGCCCACGGGGCAGTTCTGTCCCCCAGGCTGTCAGTGGCCCTCAGAGCAACCTCCCTGTTCCCAGTAGGCTGTCCTCAGTGAGGCTGCCTGCAGACAGAGCTCCTGCTCTGTGCCATCACCACAGAGACTCTGGCACTCCTCATGGGAAGAGATGCTGGCACTTTGGGTTGTGGCTTCCCCAGTGCACCCAGCCCTTCAAAAATTGTCCCTCTGCTGTACCATCCCTCAGTGACAAGTCCCTCTCACCCATGGTCACAGGATTATGCATACACTGTGGAGAAATAACAGCTGGAGTGAGGAGAATGAGACTCTCACCTGGCCAGAAGACCCACTGTATGGTGGTGAGTGTCAGTGTTGAGGAGTGTGTCCCAGCCACACTCACGTTCCACTTCAGACACCACATCCTCATACTCAAGGTGACAGAGCAATGCTTTCATGGTCATCAATGCAAATCTGTGTGCAGAGAAAAGCCCAGGTCATGCCAGGAATCCTGGCCCCAGTTCCAAGGGCACTGTGGAGATGGGATGACCAGAATGGAGCACCTGTTGGGGTTCTTGGGCAGGCAGTGCTTGTGCTGACATCGCTTCCAGAATGCATTGACTTCCACTGGCATCTGCTCTGTGCTGGAGAAAACTTGGAAGAGCAGGGCCACAAAGAGGTGGGGAAAATACAGAATCAACATCTCTGG